AACTTCAATATTTGCTGAAATTTATCTATGTGATCATCTAACAGACTACAAGCAATAAGTGCCTAACTTTAATACATGACTAGGCCCACAACATAGGCTTTGTGCTGAGAAAAGAAGTTTCAACATAAGCTTTATACTTTGAATCCTGCTTAATGTATAAAACCGAAAAAAAAAAGTTTAAAACAAATTATTCCATCTTAGCTGTCAGTAAAGTTGCAAGACTATGTATCAACTAAACAGTTTAGTTCATCTACTCGAAGGCTTTGTGCTATAATTTTTCTTTAGTTGCCACCTACTAGTAAACAATTCTGACATCCTTTCTGATGTTACTAATATTTGTAATTAATCACATAAACTGTCATGTTTTTGGCCCACAGAATTATTTTCTAAAATATCTATTAAATACCAGTAAGGATAGCTCATTGAACTTTTAAACCATTACAGTTTTAAACATTATAAAACCCATGACTACTACACGGTACCTCAGTGGTAGTTTCACTTTATTATTTATCAAAATTGATAAATATAAATTTCTTCTTTAATAATGAAAATATACATCATTATCTACAAACTACTTGTGTGTTGTCTTCATTTTAAAATTCATGATGAGTGATATCACTTTTGTAATTCCGTTTGATATTTGTAAATAATCCATATTATGATTATTATAATTAAATAATTATTTTAGAAAAAGCACAAGGAAAAAAAGACACAGTAACAAGTTTCCTGATTAAACATGTTTTTTTATATTTATATTAATTAATAACAGAATATAACTGAGAAAGCCAATACGAATAAAAAGTAACAAGTTATGACCTTCTAAAATGAAAAAAACACTAAACACGTGTAATCTAATTTTTTGCCGTGTTTAAATTCTTAGTGAAGCATCTCATGGATTAACAGTGACTCTTGCACTCTTCCTGGTGCAAAACTCTTCCTTCGAGTTATAATTATGTTTCCTCCTATGGGATAAGGTGAAGAAAAGAGCAGTGGCTCTGAGTTGCTTCTCTGTGAGTGAACACATATACAGTATACAGTTTTATCTACTAGCTGAATTGAAATTTAGGTGGTAATTAATTATATAAATATATTTTGATGTTTATTTTAATAATCAATATTTTGATTAACAATAGTGAAAATACATTAACAGGCAATTTTATAAAAAACTCCATACACATATACTTCTAGAACATTCCACTTACTTACATTCATAACATAGGCTAATCAAGTGGCTGCTTTAGCAAAATGAAATACAGAGTTCTAGTCATTTCAAGGTTTGATTGCAAGACAATGAGTAAGAGTAAGAAACTCTAATTTTAAAAAAGGCATAAGAATGGATACCCATAGAGTAAAAGTACTGTTATAAAAGGCTGTTTCCTTGGCCAGATGTTCAAAGGCACCTAATATCAACTAAAAGAAGATACCCCTGTTTATACAAGATATTTTAACAACCAACCATTGTTGATTTGCAGAGAGTAACACAAATGGACAGTCCTGTAAAGTGCAACAGATATCAGACTTAAGCAATTCCTTCAACAATGGTTAAGATTAGACTACTTTCAATCACATAGTGGAAAATTAAAGTCTTGTGGCTTCCATTTCAATCTTTTCTATACTTGGAACAGAGTAAAAATATGAAATAAACACAAATGGACAGGCCTGTAAAGTGTGACAGACATCAGATTTAAGCAATTCCTTCAACAATGGTTAATGTTTGACTAATTCCAATCAAATACTGAAAATTTAATGTCTGATGGCTTACATTTCAATATTTTCTATAATTAGAATAGGGTAAAAATATGAAATAAAGCATATGAGAAACTTTACCCTACTTTTGATACTCCAACTATTTCAATTGTTGGAGGTAGTTTATTTCAGTGAGAAACATATTCTCGACAGGGGGAGATGGCACCTTTTGCTATTAGACAAAACTGAAAAATATCTAGAGAGTATATAAACTTGTCTTTTACAACCTGACAGATAAAAGCTATTTAATAAGAGTCAACTGTAATCCTATGGTCTGAAAACAGTTTCAAAATGTATGAAAGTGAATTCAATCAGCTTCCAGCTTGAGCAGTTCAATCACCAGATATCAATTTCATTGGGTATCACTGGAATAAACCTGAACACTAATTTAACACTGTAATTCTCTGCCAACATGTGTTAACCCAACACAGAGCATACTCCTCCACAAATGAACTACAATAAAAAAAAAATCCTCTAGCATATTCCACACTTAGGTCCAACCTATTATCCAGCCAGATATTAGATGTTAGGTTGCAGTCCATAATAAAATGGCTAGAGGTTAGATACTGTAATTTGGTGTAACAAAATATGATCATAAAGGAACTATAAAGAAACAGCAACAAAAATGTATAGGAAAGATATTACTATAGATCATAATAATTCTTAAATTAATATATACACATAATCTTGACAAAAAACTTGCATATCTAACCTTGTAACAACTTTCTAATAATCTTCCTGAACTGCTACATAACTATATTATAAACAAAACTTTTCTGCAAAACATGATAATGACTCAACAGGTTCATCTAAGGAAAACAATTTACTAAGTTCATATTGAAAAGAAGGCTTACAACCATCATCTTTTGATAAGACTTTCCAGAATCATCTTCAGAAAATGACTTATGATGTTCATACTAAAGTAAAACTAGCTAGTTTTATATAGAAATAAATCTTTACGTCAAATTCATCTTAAGGCCAGTCTTTAATACCATATCCATCTTGAGACACAGCTTATTAAGTCTTTATATAATAAATGTATTTCAAGACAAATAGCAAATTCATCTTTCAGACAATTCAAACCAAATTCATTTTAGGTAAAGACCTGCCAGATTAACAATCAAACAAGACTTAACTAAATAACTATTGATAAGACTTCATAAATAGCTCTGCAACAAACATTTTCTTTAAAAAATTATAACCAATATTTCAGTCAGTAATTCTGCACACAAGGTTTGCCAAATTACTCTGAAAATGACTTACCAAAAGAATCATGAGACAAGGAACTCAGAGATTCAGAGTTATCCTGAGGTACAGGTACAGCAGATTGGTAGACAATGCGACAATCTTGAAGGGACCTTTATAAAATTTAGCAGAAAGAGTTCTTCACATTCTCTTCTTAAATACAGTGGCCTTCACTGACATATTTTGAAATTTTATTCAAGTGCATTAACTAAAATATAAGACCCAATAAAAAATTTTAATAATTCTTCAACACTGGTCTTACTACACATCTAAAATTAAAAGCTATGTTATATCATAAGGTTAAAGAGAAACAATATATATATATATCAAAATAAAGATATTTAATTTGCATTGATAAAAGTTGCAAACAGGTTTTAAAATGTTTGTTTGTTTTTGAATTTCGTGCAAAGCTACACAAGGGCTATCTGCACTAGCCGTCCCTAATTTAGCAGTGTAAGACTAGAGGGAAGGCAGTTAGTCATCACCACCCACCGCCAACTCTTGGGCTACTCTTTTACCAATGAATAGTGGGATTGACCGTCACACTATAACGCCCCCACGGCTGAAAGGGCGAGCATGTTCGGTGTGACAGGGATTCGAACCAGCGACCCTCAGATTGCAAGTCGAGTGCCGTAACCACCTGGCCATGTTTAAAATGTTATGTATTTGAAAAAAAAAAAAGCCATCAAATGATAAGTTGGAAACTACTGAAGATAAATTTGCATCATTCATGTTTTTCTAACTGTATGTTGGAGAAAACTGCCCTTGGTTTGGTTCCTTAATATTTACTACAAATATCTGATCATTACAATATTTACATTTTTAAGTCTAAAATTAACAAAATACTTTATTTTATAATAGTTTTAATCTTACCTTAATTTAGCTTAAACCACCATAAAATGCTTAAAATATTGTTTGTTTATAATTAAGCACAAGGCTACACAACGGGCTATTTGTGCTTTGCCCACTATGGGTATCGAAACCTGGTTTCTAGCATTGCAAGTCCGCAGACATATCACTATGTGCCACTGGGGGGTGCTTAAAACATAAATAAAGATAAAGGAAACGTTTTTCATATTTATCCTACTTTTCCTTTCATTAATATTTCCTTTCATACTATTAATATGCTGTTATTATTATTGTTTCAATTGATACAATATTGACCCACATACAAGAACAACACTGTTAAAATGTTTTAACTCCACTGTTAACTGTTCAGATGTGTGTTTCCAATATCTTAATTCAATTTTGATGTAAGTCATTAATTATTACAATTATTGTTCAATACCAAAGATACAAGATACACACTATAATTTGATACTTTGCCCAATACTTAAGCAGCTTGACAGTTTGTAACTAACATATCATATGTTACATAATTACTGCTTGGTTACCTGAATTTAACATTTAATGAAAAAGAAAAACTATAGTCATGCTAAAACTTATGAAAAGAAAAAATATACTAAAACAAGCTGTTCAGATATTCTCAACTTTAACCATTAAACTTATTTTTGGAATATTCAAAAGTATGTAATAACAATCATTTTGATATCAGAAGCATTAATATAAACAAAATTACAAAACTAAGACAGTGTGGGATATTTTAATAATAATTGCAATATTTTTATGCTTACCAATAAGACACATTAAAAAAGAAATCACTTTAAAACTTTTGTCCAAATCATAAGAATTTTTTCATAAAGCAATTAAATTTACAGGTCATTTTTGATAATCTATTGCTTATGAACAAATAAATATAAAATAAGAACTATTTACATGAATAATAAAACAATATGACATGAGAAAGCTCTTTCTAACAAACACATATAATTACAACACAATGTTCTTGTACTAAAATTTACAAATTGCAACACAAGAATAAATAATGTTTATAATATAAACAACAAATTTCTTTATTTGCTGTGAGAGAATTTCAAATTGTTGTAGAAATTTTCCATTTATTATTATTACAAGTATTTATTCAAGTCCTGTTTACATTTCAATGGAAATGTGTATTTAAGTTAAAACAGTGAATTTGAGAAAATACTTAGTATTAATCCAGAAGAGTCTGATCACAGTTCCCTTCACATAAGTCTCAGTTAAGTCATCTTCTTCATGGTTATCTTCCAAGTCTGTTACAGAAATTATTTCTTACCTTACATTCAGTAAAAGTTATAATACAATTATCAAGAAACACTACAGTAATATCTCATTTCTTAGATTAGCCAACAAGAAATTACTATATTGTCTAACAGTGTAATAAACTTATATTTATCAACTTGTTTCACACTTAAAATGAAAATGAAAGCCCTTTGTCATTGATAAAACTGTGTGTGTAGTGAAACTAAATAATGCCTTAAATACAGTAGAGTTCAAGATTAATGACCAAAAGAACAAGCACAATTTCAAGGAACTTGGTGAATTAAACCCAGATTTTATTATTTTAATTTTCTACCAATGATTTTGTTCTCCCTCAGTGTCAACAAAATAAAAACTTAGGAAAATTACTGTTTATGTGAATCTTTGAAAAAATTCATTCGTAAAACAATTAACACTACTTTTACAACATTCAGAATGTTTTCTAAAAGACTTTGCTCTTATTGGACCAGACTTATTTTTAGGATTCATACATATTTCTCATTTTCAAACTACTACCTTATCTTTCCATCTTACCTTGTCCCATGTGTTCTACGTGTTCAAGGCCAATTACAGACTTCAGTTTGCAGAATCCTGCATCTTTTATAGATAAGCTTAACACTGGTAGAGTGAGAAAAAACTCTGATACTGAGCAAATGTTTACAACATTATGTGCATGATCCTGATGGATCTGAAGTACATAGAGACCCTAGATGAATAAGATATTGTATTAGCCAAAATTTACAAATTAACACTAATTAACATAAAAATATTTGACTTTCAGTGGTAAACAACAGTGATATTTCAACCAAAACTTGCCTCTATTACATTATATAAAAGTATTTTAATGTATTAACTTTTTTTTTTTACATTTTATTCACTGCATTTTATAGAGTTCTCAGATTTACAATGCTAAATTCATGGGTATGATTCCCCTTAGTGAACACAGCAGATAGCCTGATGTGATTTTGCTATAATAAAACACACACACATGCATTTCATAGAATATTATGCATTCTTCCAAAAATTATTAAATTTCAACTTTGGGAGAAAAAGTATTATAGGATTCAGTAAATAAATTCTACTATGTAAAGCATTATTCAAATTCAACATTCTCCTCATGTGTTATTTGCAAGCAGACCTTGGCAATATAAGGCTGACAACACATTTCATTATCAGTTTTCTCAACATTACAGAATACAACTCAAATACCACCTAACACTTATTTAGATCAGCATCAATTAATGGCCTAACAGTTGTGAACAGTATTTCATAATTTTCACATTACAGGGCTTCTGATACATTACTTTAGCTGATTATACATTCTTACCTACAAACTTTGACAAAAACTTTGTTTTTTTTTACATCACAAGAAAAACTGGAAGAAACAAACACACTAAGTGTTATGAGGAGGTTACATGAAAACCACAATACTGACCCACACATGAGAAAAACACTCTTAACTGTTCAGGTGTGTGTTACTAATATCAAAAAATTATTAAAACATAATTTTAATTCAGTCTTGATGTAAGTTACTGATGATTACAATTATTCTTCAATACCAAAGATACAGACTATAATTTGATACTGTATCCAATACTTATGCAGCTTCACAGTTTATAACTAATATATCATATGTTTCATAATTACTGCTTGGTTACCTGAATTTAAAATTTAATGTTAAAAAAATACTACAGTCATGTTAGTATTTCTGAAAAGAAAAAAATTAAAAAAAGCTGATCAAATATTCTCAACTTTAATACTTAAACTAATTTTTGAAATATTCAGAAATGTGTGATAAGTCATATTGATATCAGAAGCACCAAAGTAAACAAAATTATAAAACTAACACAATTTGGGTTATTTTAATAATAGTTGCAATACCTTTATGCTTACCAATATGATGTATTAATAAAGAAATAGCAAATTAAAGAATTTAATTCTTTACTTAATTGAATAATTCTGTTGAAAAGTAGTTGTGATGAAATATAATTCTTCTTTCAAAAATTTAAACATTTTTCAACATAATAGCAATCTTGGCCTCTTGAGATTAGATATACTGTTTCATAAAACAGGAATTAATAGACAGAGTGGTATTACATACCAAGCAACTAAACTTCAGACTAACCATCATAGCTTGAGGTTGGTTAAGCTAATACTTCTAAAATTTAGTACATTTATATAATTCTAAATTTTTGGAATACCTACTTAAAATTAATTTCTACCACTATACTATACCACACACCAGTAGTACCTTACACAAAATAAGTCATTCTAACTATGCAAATGCACATAGAACTTGTATTGTATACTTTTTGACACCTTAAAACAATGTATGATTTCAAATAACAAGCAGCACAACAAAATGAAAGACTTCAACTAATAAGAGTGCTATATGTAAAAACTTTTCAAAAACAGTGTCATTTCAATAGTTGTAAGTTTAGTTGGTTTACCTTTATTTTCAACAATTGGAGATTGGTTGAACTTAAATATTATTTCCATACAGAAGATTCGTTCAGCCTAAAATTTCTATACCACAAGATCCATTCAGCTTACTTATAATTTCTATAATCTTATATCAGTTTAACCATAAATAATATTTTACATGAACTTTCTATGAAAACAAATTGTTCAAGTTCTCTCATATACTTTACTTAGCAGAAACCTTAATAAGTCCTTAAATTTGAGCAGATATTACTAGTGTTTAGCCAAAAATCCCAATTTACTCATCGGACAGTAACAGCGTCCAATAACATTTATGTCTCTTTGGCTGAAAACTAATCCAAACCATGTTATTATAAAAAAAATTAAGAAAACCGAAATTTTATAAGGTATGGTGATAATTATTAGGAAATCATGAAAATAATTCCAGCGGAATGCACAAAAAATTATGGGTTTTAAAAAAATTAAGCCTACACACACTTTTTAATGGGAAATTGTTTAAGTTTTATTTATATACTCTCTTTGATATGAAATTGGTTGAGCCTATATATACTGCATTTTTATAAAGTTAGTTTTGCATTTGAAAGAGTATGCAAGGTGAACAGCATAACATACATACATAAATGCAAAAAGGCACTAGAACTAGAAAGTATACTCCACTGGTTTCTAGAAACATTAAGTTGGTATATAAGCATAAAATTTAGTTTTTCTGTTGCTTGCAGTGAAAGCCACAATACAGTATTAACTTTGGAATAACATATCACAATGGTGTACAACCAAAATGACTGGAACACCAAAGCAATACTCAATGCATACTGCAACTGAAAAACTTAAGATACAAGATGAGGTACCTGTCCTTTGTGCAGGTTATATACCATATTTTTCGGTGTACAAGACACACTTTTTTTACCCCAAAATTTGATGTCAAAATCTGCTTGCGGCCTATACACCGAAGGTAAGAATAATATATATGTATATATATATATATATATAC